GAGGTTGGGGATAGAAACGTAGCAGGGGTTGCGTGAGTCAATGGGGCATGGGGCGGATAAATCTGGGATCAGAATTACCCGGGGCTCCTTATCTAGCCGCGGATTTTGCGCGGAGCCGCGCACGTGCGTCTGCGGCGCCTGCACCGGGCCATTTGGGCGTGACAGCTGACTCTGTGCATTGGCCCGTACGCCATCTTGTATACGCGGGAACGATAGCACCCCGCGGTATCATCCCCCTCGGCTTGTACGGCTTTTGTGTGCGCGCGCAAGTGATCGAAAACACACGCGGGTTGAACGTCCCGGCCCCTGGTGGTACTTCCAAAGCCCTTTAGCTGAGGCAGAGAAGTCGAGGGGGGGGGAGATGCAGGATGGCTGTAGTGACGGGGTGGGTCAAGGAGGAGGAAAGGATTGGCATTTCAATATCCTGAGAGGATTACCGGCTCCGCTTAGATGGCTGGTCCCCGCGGAGTTCCACGGGCCTGAGAGACGGACGAGGGAAGGCGGAGGGGAAGAGGGAGCGCTTGAATGTGGAATTTGAAGGGATGAGGAGAGGTGAACGGCGTAGCGATGTGAGCAGAAGGCCTTCTGGGAGCAGAGGAAAATGGGGAGGGGGGGGCGCAGATGAAGAGTTAGTGAAAATGAGCGGAAATGCCGTGCGGACGACGGCAATCTTTTGTGAACTTTGTGTCGTGGTGGTGCTTGAGGACAGACAAACAGGGGTGCATGGGGGGGGGGGGGGGGGGGGGGGGAAGGGGGCAGCGCCCAATGGCTAGAAATGACAATTTAGCGCCCAAATATTTTGGGATTGCATTAAACTGTGTTTGGCTGGAGAACAGGATGTGCCCCCCCCCACCCCCACTTTCAAATTCACACCCATTCACAGTTCTGCCAGTCTGATTCTAAAATCAAAAACAAGAAATGGAGCTGATTGTGACTCTGACTCAACACAACGTTGTTTTTTTTTTTTGTTTTTGTTTTTCGAACAACCATTGATGTGTGATTGCAGAACTTTATGAATATTTATGAGTTGAGAGCCGAGATCACTCCTTGTTGGGCTTTTTTTTTTTTTTTCGCATTTGAATATTTGCTTCTCTGTCAGAATGACGGCTGATCTGCCGCTAATAAACAAAACTTTGCTTTTCTTGATCAAGTTCCCAATAGCCCCCCCCCCCCCCCCCCAATCCTCTTTCACCCCTCTCTACCTTTTCTCCCCCCATCCCCGCCTCCGGCACTCTGCATGGAGGCATTTCAATCCTTTTTTTTTTTTTCCCTCCTTAATTAGAAGTGATGGCAAGGTGAGGCTTCAGCAGGCACTAAATGAATAGAGTCATCAAGCTACTTTTCGGGACTACAGCACAGCCGCTGAAGATGCTTTGTCACTCTGTGATGGGAATTTTAATTGCCTACCACTTGGCCTATATTTGGCGTCGATCAAGAGCTACTGACTCTGGATATGAATTTCATGTTTTTTATGATTATATGATTTTTTTTTTTTTTCTGTTGTCGTGGAAAGTGTGATGGCCACTTTGATAGCCACGCAAAGCTCGGGCGAAGGTGACCGCGCAACCCTGTATTTATAATTCAGGGTCGAAGGGCAGACTTCAATGCAATCTGAGCCAAACAAGCGCAAACAAAATAACGCCAGAGGGTCAGACTAGGCATAAAACTTCAGAATTCTTCCCCGGGTCTTATTTTTCTTTGTGTAATACCTTGTAAGGTGCCTCTGTTAAAAGAGCTTCTGTTGAGTCCCGCTGTGTAAAAATAGTGGGCGATCCGCATCGAGAGCCGAAGCCAAATTTTCTTTGATCCAAACTGGGAGGTCGCTGACAGACTAATTAGCTTGTCTGGGTGAATAGCGAACACTCCCCCCCCCCCCACCACCCCACACAGGTAGGCATGCATTTACGCGCACGTATACAAAGTTGCCCTGCCATTCTTTGGCATCGGCTTCGTCTTATAAAATGTTAATCAGCGCACGGCGTCATCCGAGCTCTCATTAATCAGTATGATTGATCCGTCAAATTATCTTTTGTAATGCAATCTAGAATCAATGATGATGATGATGATCATAGAAACGGGGAAATAATACATGACAGATGATGGGAATGGACTTGGAAGTGTAACAGGGAGCATTCCTGATTTACTGGGTGCTGGTTAAAAACGTCGCGCTTGGAAATGGAAAAAGATGGAGCGCACTATCGATGATCAGAGACAGAGAACGGATTTTGAAGTCGGTTGATTCGTTTGGGTGCTTTTCGTCGGAGTTTCGTATGGTTTATTGAGCTGATTTTTAGTTTCACATTTTGAGAATCAAGACGAGATTTGGAAATGCAAATACACGAGACGGCTTCGTTGAAAACCGGGACCGGCGATATGCGTCGTCATTGATCATTAAAGCAGGTCGGTAGCACAAGTGCAGGCAAGGAAGTGATTGACAGACACGCGGGGAAAGGGCAAGTCTGACAAGGCGCCGGTGAGACTAATGATCAGAGGAGGAGGTACATGATGAAAAGACAGGCAAGGGCATAACGATTCAAAGTAAGAGAAAAAAAAAAGGCTCAATGTTTTGGGAAAAATAAAGAGCAAGATAAAAGGCATCCAACACACCTCGTTGAAATGCCGTACTTGAACGTTGCCCATCACGTCATCTAGGCTGGTCCCAAAATGATCATTGACCACGCAAAAATGCGATCCAGAGTTGCCATGACGACGATGATACCGATTAGCCTCTCATCAGTAACTCTACCCTCAAAATGAAGCTTTTTTTTTTTTTTACCCCCCAAGCTGTCGTCCTAAATTAAAAGAGATCTTGGTCATTCTCACGCACAGTTGCCAATTGTCTCTTTGTCTTATTAGCTTGTTTGCGCGCCGTTTCTCGTCCTGCTCCCGGCCACCCGCCCACTGACTGGCACTTTTAATTACGCCGTCACCGAGACTCCTTTTTCCCTTGTCGCGCTAATAGACACCCTCTTCTTTTTCCCGATGTCAGATACACACACGCCCAATTTGGTGACTGGAACGAGAGCGAACGTGTACGTAACCGTTTAGATGGAAATGTCCAAGTGTCTCCTCTTTGCTGTGCATCCCTTTCACAGATAGACTTATCCAAAATTGCTGTGTGCGTGTGCGTGTGCATGTATGTGTGTTTTAATATCCTCCCTCCCCATTTTTTCCCCCAACACTGGTATGAACAATAATAACCGCCGAAGATTTCTATCAGCTCACCTCGCCTCCTTTGCTGCCCTCTTCGCTTTCTCTGCTGCTGAACTTTTTTTTTTTTTTTTTCGGATTATTATTTTCTGAATAGAATCAAGCCGTGTATTTGCATTGGAGCATGAACGCTGCTGAATCTCAATAGGACATTCCGTCTGACGTCTCAAAGCAGGCCTTGAAAGCAACGCGGATGCTTCAAGTGACATCGTGGAGGTTTTGGACACAATCCCATGCATGAAGTTGCTCATCTTGAGGAAATAACGCATGATATCAAAGGTAAAGGTGGATTCAGAAATCTGCACGGACCACCGTGCGGGCCACTGCGTGCTACAGAGGATTCAGCATCTGTCTCCTTTGATAATCAAACAGCCATGCCAGTCGTGCAAGCGCTGCCTTTGTACGCACGCACGGGCCACAGGAGCCTGAAAGCAACAGCTGCCATTTTGTGCCAAAGTCAATTCGTGGCTGTACCTGCCATCGAGTCCCGAGCTCGATCCGCCACGTAACCCAACCCCTCCCATCTCCCCCAGTGTTTGAATAACGAGAGGCCTGTACTGGGACTGTGCATCACGAAGCAGCTTTGAATTGAAATTTCAGGAAACTCGCTTTTCAGTCACACTTTGAGAGCACGGAAGGCAAAGTTAAACAACCGGCCTGGAATCTTTGGCGCCATGCGTGTTGCGCATACTGACTATTAACTTGCATTCATTTTACTTTGTGTCTGCCCCAACTAGTCATCTCATATAAAGGCAGCGACTATGCTTTAAATTCACTCCAAAAATGACCGTCCCAGTCCGACATTGTGCCAACCGTCCTGTAATATTATTCCTCTATTCTCTCCCCCTTTTTTTTCCTCCTCATTGTTTGCCTTTTGAAGCCTGCAAGCCTCGTCTGTACGATTGGGACGTGCACTGCGAAGCTTTCAAATTGGGCATTTTGTGAAGCTGTATGTCTTTCTGACAAGTGCCTATCAGCGTCTCCCCTCAATGTTGTCGCCGCTCTACAATGAGTGTTTGAAAATGACTTCCAACGCGAAGCTAAGGAAGCTTCTCGCCTGTGAGGCCCGCCAACTCTTCTCTATTGCATGTGAAACTCATTCTGTGCCTGTCAGTGTTCATGTGTCACTGAAAATAAGACGGCAGGAAAAAAATATCTATATATTTTTTTTTAGATGATAGTCAACATCAAGTCCAGCTCTGAAAATACAATTTCGTACTCGCTTGTGATATTTGGTTGCGGTATCTCATATCTGATCTTGGACTGTGTTGCTATAGTCTGATTGCATGAAATGAACTTTTAGAAACAGAGATTACCATATTCGCTCCAGAGTGGAAATTGCACCAGTCAGAAGAAAAACACATATATAAGTCGCTCTGGAGTATAAGTTGCCCTTTTTTTTGTGGGTCCATGTTTGTACTCAAACCGAGACTGCAAAAATCTATGAATCTATAATGCTTCAGTAATGCAGACCCGCACGTTGAACCTTGCACAGCGGCAAGAGACCCTTTATTTTCCGCTGTCGAGGTACAAAGCAAGCAAGTGATTGTGGGTGCACGTCTATAGCGAAATCATCCAAATGTGTTCTTTGGTGCCGAGATTGAGCTCTAATGTGTTCTGGGATTTAGTGGGGAGTGGGGCGGGAAGCACCCGTCTTATGCATAATTCAGCACAAAGAAAGCAAAGAAGTGCAAACAACAGTCTGCAGTTAAAGGTGAACCGGGCAGATTTACTCTTCGTTTTTGAGTTAGTGTATTAAGATGAGCATTTCCTCTGTTTGGAGACTTGATAGTTTTGTCACCGTAGAGTCGTCGTTTTTTTTTTTTTTTTTGTTTGTTTGTTTGTTTTTTCCCTGCATATATGCTGCCCTTAATAACCAATCACTGCCGAATAATTGTCCATGCAAAGTGTGTCCGTCGCCTGTTGCCCCAAGACAGCCGGGAAAAAAAAAAAAGGATAAATTTTTGTTTTAATCTATTGCCTCACTCGACTGTTATCTTGAATTAAAAAAATGGAGACCCGCATTATTTCTGTTTGCGGATGTGCAGTATTTGTCTCTTGAGTGAGTGACAGGTCGACCATATTGAAGTGCGGCGGTTGCCATCAACAAAATAGATGAAATGTCGGTTAAAGGTCAGGGGGAAATATGAGCAGGAAAAAGGACAGCAGCAAAAAAAAAAAAAAAAAAAAAGAGTTTACTTTTAAGGTTACTGATGGGAGCAGCAGAAAGGACAGATGACAAAGAAATTGAAAAAAAAACACAACAAAGAAAAGCAACAAAAAGTAATTTACATACCAAAGAAAAAAATAATTACAATAATTACTTCTTGTTTATTAAATGTAATTTATTAAAAAAAAAACATTAAACAACCCCTCACCATGCTCCTAATTGTGTAATAAAAATGTTACAAGTAGCCCGTGAGTGGCTCGAATACATCCTGCGTCGACACTAAAATTCCTTATTTCCTCTAACAAATATTATTTACATTTACATTATCCCATCCTTCAGTTAATGTTGCAGTCCCATTTGCACTTATTTAATATGTATCGCGGATTTTTAGTTTATAGAAGAGCCCCGATTCCGATCGGAGGATGTCAGATTAATTTTCTTTTGTTCTCGTTTTTGTTTTTTACGCTGCCGTGACCTATAATGGAAATGTGTCAGTGTACATTTTTAAATGGTGATTAAAAGTAATTATTAAATGGAAAAAGTGATTGATTTACACAAAATATGGCGGGGGGGGGAAAAATAAATTTTCATTTTTTAATATTAGGCTCAGACAAAAATACAAAATGTAAAAATGTCACCCCGCACTGATCACCTGTCGAAAATGGAAACAATGAATAGTCCACAGAATTTTCAACAATGTTGTGTTCATCCAGCCAAAGAGAGGAGTCATCTGGATAACTTTTCTCTTGGACTCTCATGGGTTGAGTCAGAAAAAGTTATTGCGGTTAGATTAATTGAGAGACTCGGAGGAAAAAAAATAAAAAATGAAAAGTGGCTGTTTGAATTTGGGAGGCTCTCCATCCTTTTAGTCTTACGTCGATGCCAACTTGTCAGTCAATCCATATCTGCATTGATCTATTGTCAGTCTCAACGTGCTTCTGTCTGCCACACACACCACACACACACACACACACACACACACACACACACACGCACTAGATGGGCTAGTGTAAGTTGAATTATTTTCATAATCTTTGCTCTCATTAGCTGTGGCATAATTAGATGCGATGGTGCACTTTACGAATAGTGTACTTTGCAGCATTCATTCGCAAGAAGCTGCCCCAGTTTAAGTCAATCCATATCTGCATTGATCTATTGTCAGTCTCAACGTGCTTCTGTCTGCCACACACACCACACACACACACACACACACACACACACACACACACGCACACACTGTTACAAGGTCTGTTGAATGACTAATCCATTACTGCTGTCCCGCTCCTTTTTTTCATCCGTCTCCCTAAAGTAGAATATTGGCGGACTCTCCCATCTGTCCTTAAATATAAAACGCTTTTTCTTTCGAATCTGAACTGAAAATACTGTCGGCTTGCTGAATAAATCAATAGCCGTTTTTGAAAGGAGGGAAAAAAAAGACTTTTGTTACACCGTCAGGCTGTAACTGCAGGCGCAAGAAAAAAAATGTTCCTAATGTCCTTGGCAAATGTAAAGCTATTGAAGAAGGGGCTGTATGTTTAACACGACCAGAGTTCTACAATCCAAGACTGACTTTCTATTCTTCTTTCCCTCGCCCTTTCTATTTGTAAAGCTTCATCTCTGATCAGTGAGCTACGAGCTGAGAAGATTGAGGAAAAGAGTGTCACGTTGGTGTGGAGGCAACCTTCGTCCCCAAATAGAAGCCGGACGGAATATGAAGTCAAATACTATGAGAAGGTAAACCCAGTTTTTTTTTTCAATGGTCATCAAAACAGAATGTTCCGTTGGACCAACTGAGCCCAAAAGGTGGTGCTTGAACACCTCGAACTCTTGTCAGAAATCTGTGTTAAGGCCCTGCAGCATTTTATTGAAATTTTAAAATATAGTTAGAAATAATTTTCTCCGTCCCGTATGAAACGGTCAAGCCCCCCTCGCATCTAAAACAAAATTACATTTGACTGCCTGTTTTTAGCCATTCTGATTTTCAGTCTTGGCGCCATGCTAGCTTCCTAGTGTCAATCATGTCAAGTCTCATCAAGTCAGAGGTTACTGCAGCAAAACTCAAATAATTTGTGTTCCCACGAAATTTCTAGAAAGTCGAGTCAAGTTTTCATGTTGAAAATCAATTCCTACTTGCATGGATTGTTCACAGCTAGCACTGTATGGAACACTGCTACTATGATGAGAAATGTTTATCGCAAATCAGACTCTGTATTGTCCATCACGCTACTATCTTCTCGATTAAACGCATGACCGACATGAAGCTTGGCTGACATTAGCTAACCTGTGAAGCTAACTTTAATTAAACGCATGACCGACATGAAGCTTGGCTGATGTTAGCTAACCTGTGAAGCTAACATAGCTTCACAGCCTCTATGGTTTTCATATTGACGGATGAAGTTAGATATTGGAATTGTTTCTTTTCCTTTTTTGATTTGTTGTTGCCATTCTCCTTTTCCTGATTGTATTAGAAGCATAATCCTTGAATCCTAATTCAATGATTTTTAATTAGCTCCTTCCGTCGTCGCATGTTGGAAGTGTTTTGATAGCCTTTTGCGCCGCATATTCTTAACGTGTGAAGCAGGTTGCCAAATGTTTTCAGCCAAGCAAGTCGCAAGTCCGATTTTTGAAGACTCATCTCAAGTCATGTGACTCGAGTCCCCTAACACTGCGGAACGTTAGCTATCAAAAGCACAGCTGGGCTTAACGTACACATGTTACGAACTTCAGGATGAATGTAAACTATGTTTATGTTCAGTTAATCATCAGCAAGTGGGAAAACGTACGTATTTTTAAGGAGCGGTCATGTGGACAGCCACTGTCATTTAAAATGTCACATCACACTCATTCAACACGGGGTTCCCAACAGACAGTCTTCACACTAAATCTGCCGTTGCTCGTAAACTCACAGCTGTCGCACAACCACCATTTTCATACGGCGTGTTTTCGGTTATGTCTGTCACACTTCGCACCTCCGTCTCTTCTCTACGCTTTGCCATATTTATGAAAATATGTATCCCTCGTCCCGGTTTTGCCACGTGGAAAAGGTGCGGGGCGGGTAAGACTGCGCAAAAAGTGAGGCGATGTTAGAAGGCGGTGAGGATTTGCTAAGATTGAGATGGCCGAGGTTGAGAACAAGTTAGATAGCGTATTAGACGGGTAACAGATTAGGAGAAGATGACACGGCTTACTGTTTCCAAGAGCGTGGTGCTGGAGAGAATTGAAGGAAGATGATTTGGGAGGGTGGTAGATAAAAGCAAGAGTGAAGGGGATGGATAGAAAATAACTGAGTCAGACAGCAACATTGTCGCAAAGCCATGAAATGAAAAGGCAATACAATTACACAGCGACAAAGAGCCTGTCGTATGTTTTTTTTCTCTCTTTTTTTTTTTTTTTTTTTTTTAAATGGTATCGCTTTGGAGTTGTGGTCTCATTTTTCTTCTCTTATTAACGTGTTGTGTTATACTGTGGGCCAACATAACAGCCAAAAATATTGCTCAACATTCGCTCCCACTTATTTTTCACCGGAGTAAATTACACACGGCAGTGAATGTTTTGTTTTATTTCTTCAAACGTGAAGAATTTATGGGTGCTTCAAATTTTTTTTTTTTTTTTTTTAAAGCAATTTTCCTCATCCTCTGTCCTCGTTCGTCTGGACTAAAAATGACACCTACGGTATTCTCTGCATTTGTTTATTCACGATTGGCTAAAAAAAAAAAAAAAAAAAAGTGTTACTTTTGAAATCTTTGCCCGCAAATCCGCATTCGGTGTTAGTTTGAGTCATTATGCCGATGGACACATGAAGATAAATTGATAACGTCACAAGCATGGCAGGCAAATGACACCCAAAAAAAAAAAAAACACGACAGCAATTACGCTAATGGCAGTTTGTTCAAAGTCATTTTCGCAGCGTGAGACGCGACGTACTCGCAGGACGCAACATTAGGCGCACCTGCACAATCTAATGAGTGCGATACTTCATTATTGTGGTGTATCTAATCTTTTGTGCCACGTGACGGACGTGTCATTCAATCTCTTTCCGTTTCTTCTCATCGCACGCTCGCCGTCTCCGCAGGAGCAAAAGGATCAAAGTTATTCCACTGTGAAGACGTCCTCCACGCGGATCAGCGTCAACAACCTCAAAGCCGGCACCACCTACGTCTTCCTGATTCGCCCCTTCACGACCCCAGCGCCGTCCTCCTCGCTGTCCTCCTCCTCGCTCTCATCCTCTGCCTCCTCATCTTCCTCCTCTGCTTATCCTTCCTCCTCCTCCTCCTCCTCCTCCTCTTCTTCCTCCTCCTCCTCCTCCTCTCCTTCCCCAATCGACTACGGAGCCTTCAGCGCTCCCCTGGAACTGCAGACACTGGGAGAGCGTGAGTAGCCTTTTAACACCTCCGCCCCAGCCTCGTCCTGTTCCCTTTTCTCCTCGCTGACGCCTCTCCGCCGAGCACCTCCAGGCGACCGGTGATTTAAGATGCGGGGGAGCTCGCGTGGGCACACGGCCAGCCTAAACAATGAGGCGCGCGGCTCGGGTTTGAGAGTGTCAGCATTGTGACAGTCTGAGATAATGTGTGAAGATTCCACATTTTTATCGGTGAGCTGTGAAACACTTTGTCTTTGATAACACCTCCGAGTGTTGTTTTTGCTCTGCGTGTGTGCTTTAGGCCTCTAAATTCTAATGGAAGAAACCTTTTTGATATTCAGCGGTGGGATTTTTAGTGCAGTGATACGCAGGGGCGAATTTACCTAAAAGCCGCTCCGCGCATCCGGCATCTCCTACATGCGGTCAAAAGACCAAATCCAGCATGGCTCATTTGTTGTTTGTTTGGTTTTTTTTAGTTTGGGCCAAACGGAATATTACACAAAAGCGGTCGACCTTTTTGTGTTTTTGCAAGTGAGATCTTAGTTTCACAGTTACTTTACGGACGATGCTTACTCTTGCCGCAGGCGAGCTGAGAAGTGTCAAACAAGTGATGACCTCAGGAAACTTTTCAAAGCAGCCGGAGTCGAACATCCTTGTAACTACATGGGAAATGTAGCCAAGAAATACCATCCCAAAATATAAACAGCACAATGCCTTTCGCCGCAGATAAGGCAAGCCAGAAAAGTTTGTGATTGTTCTTCTTTTTTTTTTTCTTTTTTTTTTTTGGGATCGTTTGCCTGGCGTTGAAAGGCATCATATCGAGAGGTGTTTTTAATACAGGATTTTCATTCCCATTTTTCTTTAAAAGTACTTTAGCGAGACAGATGCCGGGGCCTTACTTTCAGCATGTTGCAACTCATGTTGCTGTTGAATATGCTAAAGAGTGTCCATCAGACAGATGCGGGTTTGTTTTCGTCTCTTTGTCAACAACCTATTTCACTTCCTTTTGCAGTGGCGCTGGCATCCAGTGAACAGAGTCCTGTGGTGATCATCGCTGTCGTGTCCGTGGCGGCACTCGTCATGCTGCTGTCGATGGGCGTCGGACTGCACATCTGGAGGAGGTAAAGCACATTCTTGTGTTCCATTCCTCTAGACCAGGGACGTCAAACTCATTTTTGTCGCGGGCCTGATTTTAATTACAGTTTCCCTTGGAGGGCCGTTATGACATATGAAGAAGTCAAGAGAAACATTGAAAAATGCTTACAATATATCTCTTATTGATTACATATGAGAATTAAAAATGTTGGAAAACATTTTAGAAAGGGGGCCGCCCGGTGGTCCAGCGGTTAGCACGTCGACCTCACAGTGCAGAGGTACCGGGTTCAATTCCAGCTCCGGCCTCCCTGTGTGGAGTTTGCATGTTCTCCCCATGCCCGCGTGGGTTTTCTCCGGGTTCTCCGGTTTCCTCCGACATTCCAAAAACATGCATGGCAGGCTGATTGAACACTCAGAATTGCCCCTAGGCGTGAGAGTGAGCGCGGATGGTTGTTCGTCTCTGCGTGCCCGGCGATTGGCTGGCAACCGGTTCAGGGTGTCCCCCGCCTACTGCCCGAAGACGGCTGGGATGGGCTCCAGCACCCCCGCGACCCTTGTGAGGATTAAGCGGATCAAAAAATGAATGAATGAATGAATTTTAGAAAGGATCGTAGAAGTTGACATGTTTGAGCTGCTTTTGCGGGCCGCATAAAATGATAAGGCGGGCCAGATCTGGCCCCCCGGGCCTTGCGTTTTTTTTTCCTCATCTTGACCAAAAAATAAAAAATAAAATGTCACACAAACCTGCATTTGACATCAACAAACAACAGCTCATCGACTCAGCGCGCGCCTAATCCAAATTGGGCTAATCCCAAAATAACAGGATCGTATTATCCTTGGCAGTATATTTTTGATAGACCTTGTCCATGGGATTGTATTAGATTATGCCCGTGGAACTGATGTGGTGGCCAGTGCGAGCGGGTCAACTGTCAAATATTGCCATCAAGAAAATATTGTGACATTGATAGCACCAGACCGATTTCAGACAAATGTGAAGGCGCAATGACGAGGTCAACTCGGTGGTGAAATGGGTTCGAGTCACTCGCAACACCCCACAAACCGGTGCTGTTGATCTCTCTCTCTCTCTCTCTCTCTGTCTCTCTCTCTCTCTTTCTCTCCTTTCCACTCCTTCGTCATTT